ATAGAGCCTACAGCCTTGACTGACATTCAATCTCCCCTTCTAATCTCTGCCAAGGACTGGTTCTTGGGTATCTGATCACTTTCCCCTAGTGGTCTAGGTCCCACACAGCCTTCCCGTCTCACCCTTCCTATGAGACCAGGACAGCAACCAGATCATACCCACTGGGGGCACAGACACCATGTCAGCCACTGCCTTTTGCTCCGGGATGGGGTCCGGGTGGGGATATGGGAAGTCAGGTACATGCTCAACACCACCTGGCTGGTGCATGGTTGCAATCATCTCCACTCAAGAGACACCTTTCGAATGAAGATACCAAGAATTTCCCAACTGTGATCGCTTAGGGTTGCCAGTCTGGAAGTTGCTCTTGTTCAGAAAGCAGATTTTCAAAAGGGTAGACTGACTTCTTCACTCCCAACTGGAGCCTCCTTTCTCATTTCACAATGGGATCTACTAATTACATTGTTAGACCTACTTATAATTCTTTCCCTTAACCAAGCTCCACTGCCTTTTTAGATAAATGTATTATCTTCTCCGTATCTCTCCAGCATAGAATCTGAGTCATTCTTGATTTTGCTCCCTTCTATCTCAAATCCACACCTGAAAGACACTGTCCATCTGTCCCCTGCTACCCATTCTCAATATTGCTTCTTTAGTTCAATTGTTCATTGTTGCATTGTAATAGACTTCTAATTATTTTCCTACCTGTTCCCTGTTCAATCCATTCAGCCATCATCACCAAATTACCCCAAACACCACTTTGATCTTGTGAAAATGTTTTTAAGGACTCCTGTGGCCTACTGTTAGCAAAATCTTCAGCCAAGTGTTCAAGGTCTTTCCTTCTTTTGCACACTTCTGATATATATATATATATATATATATATATATATATATACAGATATAGATAGATATCTATATCTATATAGATATCGATGATATAGAGATAGAGATAGAAATAGTTATAGCAATAATTTCAGCAAATTAGAGCACTCACTGTCTCCTCTACATGCCTTATACTTGTTCATCACTTTGTCTCTCTAAACCATTTGGCAGTATCTGGTTCACTTTCCCTCACTGCATAACCATCTCCAACTGGGAATTTTAACTCTTCTTACAGCTTGAATGGTACCTCTTGTATAAAGTCTTCTCTCATAAGCAAAGTCACATAATGAATCCACTCTCCTCCAAGAGAAATACCATTTGGTTTTGCCATGTAAATACAGATCACTACTAACTGTCTGTGTAGAGTACATGGCCCAGGACTATAAGCATCTGGAGGACAGGAAGCATGTCCTTCCACCTTTGCACACGGAAACCTGCCCTCTTGACGCACGGGGCATAAGGGGCTCTCAGTGCCTCTCCGCTGAGTCTGATGAACAAATGAATCTGTTATGTAAACAGATCAGGTCTTCTGAAAGGCTAGCACACCTGGAACTCTTCTGCGTCATCCCTTTCCTCCTCTCCCTTCACATAACAAAACATTCTGCTGCTTTTCAGACACAAGCCCATCAAACACCTGTATCATCATTATCAACACTCACACAAATTCAACTCATACTTTTTATTAATGTTTAAAGTATTATATTCTGAATGCTAAAAATATTTCCAAAGAGAACACCTGTTACTTGAGTGCCCTTATTTTCAACCTCTTGAGGGCAATTTATTCATTACTATATTAAAGTGAGCTGTTTAATAACTTATAACTCAGGGAGAAAATGTAAATTATAGCCACTATCATCATACTGCATGCTTAGAATTAATTTGTTTTTCCACTTGCAATTCTTTATTAATCTCCTAATTTCAAGTCTCTTTTAGGACTAATTAAGAAAAGTAATGCAAAACAATTAAATAAACAGAGGGAGGTACTGCCAAAGTTTTATTAAACTTCAGTATTTCAATGAATATACTATCCTTAACTCAGAATGCTTGCGTATTATCACAATTTCCTAAGTGTCTGCAATGCCTTTTTCTTGCTCATATTATGAGCCCCCAATGAATAAGATCATTAATCTCTCAAATGATTAAAATTTAAAATTCTGTATGAAACAAATCTCATCTCCTGAAATAAAAAGCACACAAACTGAATCAAAGCAGAAACATCTCGAGGCCAGCCTTGGCTACAAAGTGAGTTCAAGGCCAGTGTGAACTACATAATGAGACCCTGTCTCGAAAAGACAAAAAAAGGAACATCTTCAAGATATACTATATTAGTTTATAAGAAGCTAAGTAATTTTTACATAAAATGCCAAGATGTTTATATACATGATATGAATTAAAACCCATTAAAATAAAAGCATGCATTTGGAAGGTTGTTAGATTCCACTATGCGAACTCTTGAAGACCAGGAAATGGAAAAGACAGGGGGAATGCTAGAACTGGGGAAGGATACTACATTAACTCAACTCTAGAAAGTTTATGTTTCATGAATTACTAAAAGGAACCAAGTGTAGAACATTTGATAGACTAGACAGGATCTAGTCAAGAGTTAGTAGCCACATTTAGGAGAATCTTAAGTAGGGAGTGGAAGAATACCTATTTTTATTTTCCTCGAAGGGAAGTTGGTTCTAAAATACTTAATTTAAGAGTGGAGCATGGCTCCAGGAAAGATTTGGCTGGTCAGAATGTGCTGAGTTCCTATTAGTCCCAGATAAGGAGAAAAACAACTTCAAATGAAATAAAGAGAAAGCATACTAGCAAACTAGGTATCATCATCATCACTGACCACTACCATTTCTTTAGTAATTGCACTGTGCCAGGTATTGTTTTAGGGACTTCAGTGTAATATTTCATCTTATTTTCTCAGTAAGCCTTGCTAGGTAGGTGTTATTATTTTCATTTTGTTGATGGGAAAATTGAGACTCTGAGAGACAAAGAATTCTCCCTAGGTCACAACAATGGTAATAGCAGTGCATAGTAAAATAAAGAAAAAGGCAGTTTTATTGAAGAACAGTACCATAAATAAAATTAAGCAAAACACTACCAAATTAAAACTACATATATACACTGTAGAAACCACTGAAGGAGAAAAAGAAACTTTCTAACAGGACAAAATGAAAGCAGATGAAAGATCTTAAGCCCCCGATTCATGCAGCATACTTCCCTTCCTTGCCTTTTTCAACCCTCCAAAAGCTGGTCTTACTTATAGCCATCATACTACACTGGAGGGAAAGGGGAAAAACTCCCAAAATCAGAGTCCAAATATTAAACAGCAAGTTTGCTTTACACTCTGCACAGAAAGGACAGAGCTCACAGGAAGCAACAGCTGCTGGAAACCTGATTTTCATTGCCTGTGATAACCCCCACAGCCACAATTCCAGGCAGCAGGAAGACGAGCTAACTGCCGAAGAGGCCAAGAATTATACTCTTGAAGAAAGGGCAGTATATGAACAGCATTAAATAAAAGTTAGGGGTTAAGAGAGGACAATTAGAAACAAAAGCTATAGAAATAAGAGAAAAATCAATTGAGAATGAACCAGAAAGGGAAACACAATAAAAAGCAAAGATTTGAATAAGTATTCTCCAAATAGAAAGGTACTTTTTTTAGTCCAAGCACACAATAAGGATATGGAAATATTGTAATAGAAAAAAATTAGCAACAGATTACTAATATTTTACAGAATCTTCAACATATCAATTACTAAGTTATTGTATTTCTTCCCATGGCTTAAGATTGTAGAGAAACAGACACTTGTTGAAAATCATTAATTGGCTGCTGTATCTAAACCACAAATGTCTTCAAGAAGGATAAATGAATAATGAATAATCTACAACAAAGGACTACAGAAATGGTTTTTTGATAGGCATCCCTTAGGGTTGTGTTTGGCAGACATCTCACAAAAATATGACATTTGTTTTACTACAACTTAGTCAGTTTTCCATGTAAAATTTTAAGCTTTCAGATGAAATAGAGACAATTTTATATTTAGTGTTCCTGTCAACCACTTTTGCTATTCTGATTGACAGAAGCCAAACTCTTGTGAGGCACATACACCTCCATGACACACCTGGAAGCAGTAGTCACCAAATCACTCCCAAACATTGATGATCAAGGATAAGAACTTTTAATTCTTATGAACTCTGAAGAAGTCTCATAGAAAATGACAGTTTCATCATGTGTAGTAAGTAAGTACTGAAGAAATGAAAACTGACTGGTTTTCAGATCCAGCATCTAATAACTACTTCAAATCACTGTGAAAATGAAAGGTTAGGAAAACTGGACAACTGCATGTTGGTTTTCCTTTTCCATATCAACCAAGCATGTTTACCCTGCTGATTGCCTCTGGACTGCTAAAACTTTATCAATTTTTTTTTTTGTTTGTTTTACAAGCTAAAACACTACTTGCTGAGTCCTGTTGAAAGCTGGCTATAGATAAGGCTGTACAGAAGCCTAAGCATAACTAACCCTTCCATGTGTCCCACCTCTCCAAGTTCAACAACAGAAACAATTCCATAGACGCTAAGATGCACATATGGGCCAGAGGCCTCTCTGACTTTTCTCCCTTTACCTCCTCTTTCCTACCTTGGACCTCATGAAAGTTTAAGCTAGAGAAGGAGATAGGGAAGTACTTAGGTACTCTTTTACCATTCCAACCTTGAACTGGAGAACAAAAAAGCATTATGGTCTCCCAAAACATGACAGATCACAAAATACCCTTTTTTTCTTCAGACTTAACACTGGAATTCTGGAGCAGACTTGCTTCTCTAGCACTCTAAAAACCATAAACTAATATAATGACAGAGTCCTTTGGCAGGGAAATATGTAATATCACTACAGTACATCATATGTGTACTTCCCATAAGCTACTGTGTGTCAGGAAAAGACCATTACATCAGAGATGATGTTGTAACATTCTAACAAGTCTAAACTCAAAGATGAAATTTAAATAGCAAGATTACGTCGTGAAGAGTCTAAATGAATGGTATTCCTGGATGCCAAAGGGTAAGGGAAAGCTTAGCTCCCGAGGCAGGAGGCTTGGGGAAGACAAGACAGCGCAAAGTCCTACCTGGTAGGCATCAGGAATGTTGACGGTTTCTCCATGCTCCCCGACATAGCCAATGATACCCTTGCCCCAGGGGACCTGCACCTCGTTTGAGTTCTCTGTGCTGCTGCAGGGCAGCAGTGGGGTTCCTGCATGCACGTCAAAGAACTTGGAGACCAAGCTCTTCTTGCCAGCAGCTGCCCCTTCCACTAGGAAGAGAGAGCAGCGGTCAGCATCCACCATGAGACAGACAAAGATGAGGATCTTGTAGCTCAGGCTGGTGAGGTCAAGGTCATTGGAGATGTCCTTGACCAGTTCCAGGAAGAACTGACGCTCATTGTGCTTTTTGAGGTGACACTTGTAGTCGATGGCTGGAGGCGGGTACTGAGGCAGATTCACTCTTGACTCTAGCAGGGCACTGAGGATGTGAGCTGTGGTCGGGGGCAGAGAGCTGGCCTTGCGGAGAAGCGCCCTCCGCCGAACACTGCTCAGGGGCTCCTGGGCCCGGGAGGTCACCTGTTCATCATAGGTCCTGTTCACATGGATGGCCTTGGAGCGGGCAAAACTCTTCCTCAGCTCTTTCTGAGAAGCTCTTCGCTGCAGGCTCCCGTCGCCTCGGCAGCCACTGGCCCAGCTGGGACTCAAGGGAACCCCGCCACTGTCCCCACCGCCAGGAGTGGGCTGGTTGCTGGCAGAACCATCTGCTCCGGTGCTGCCACCAACGCTGCTGCCGCCTCTGCCACTGCCCTGGGCCACGCCACCCGTGCCAGGTGGAGCAGGCCTGGAGCCCGGAGCGCCCTGACCCTGACTGTGCCTCCGCAGCCACTTCTCCACCATCTCCTGCTTTCCCTTGCGCATCAAGTAATCTTCAAACAACTCAGGGTGCCGGTCCAGGAAAGTTTCCACCTCCCCGAAGTCCAGGCGGAAGCTTGTCATGGTCCCGAGCACTCTACCCTTGGAACAAACAATTACCTGCCCCGAAAAGGAGGCCTCTAGCTGTTCCCGCACATGCTTCCCCGCCAAGGCATCCCCAGCTCGGTGCCACCCCCTCACCCCGCCAGCAAGAGGTTGTTCCTCAGCAGTGGAGTCCCGGCCCGGGGAGCCCGGTCCTTCTCTGGCTCAGAGTGGCCGGCACCGACCCCGCCCCCTCGTCCTGCTACTCCTGCCCAGCGCTGTTGCTGCCCGGAGCCGCCGCCGCCGCCGCTCCAGTCGCTCCAGTCGTGGAAACCCGAGCTGCCGCTGCTCTCGCTCCTGCTGGCTGCGCCGCTGTTCTGCCGCCGCCGCCGTAACCAGCTGAGTGGACCACAGTGAGAGGGAGGTGGAGCAGGACACGCCCCTGAGAAAGGCAGGAGCCGGGGGTGGGGAGCAGCGGGGAGGAAGCAGGCGCGGACGAGCCAAAGTCCACGGCCAGGATGCCAGGCTGTTCCTGGAAGAGTCTCTGGACCGCCAGAGTCTGCCAGGGGACATAACCAACTCTGGATTAAAACTGGATGAGAAGGGGGAAACGCGCCTAATTCCTTCCCCTCCGTCCTTTCTTACCTCCGGAGTTCTCCCCTTCCCCGCCCCTTAAATCTTCAGCTTTTCACCGAGGTCCCTGGGGCCCAGCGGGAGCCTTAATACGGGGAAGTGTTGATGTTTTTTAAGGATGCGAACCCAGAAGCCGACTCCGCAGAAAAGAGGATGCTCAGAAGCAGGCAGGATTATTTTTCTGGGATGAGACTGTGCACTGTTGGTTCTCAGGATTCCTGGGACTGCCCAGTACTTTGTGGGTATTCGGTAAATAGTAATGGAATTACATTTCCCTGAAATTACCAGGTGAAGTTTCCAGTGAGAGCAACTCATGACTTTAACCCCATTCACAGACGGGGTAGGTGGGCATGTGCAGGGAGGATACAGAACACAGTGACTTGGATGAGAGTGCCTGCCTAGCAGGGCCTTATAGCAAAGTGGACTTGAGGGCCTCAGGGGGCTTCCTCTGGCCAGCCCAGGACACTGGACAGTTTTCTTCCTTTCTTGGATTACCGGCCATCTCCACTTTCTTTCTCCGCTTAGTCTCACAGGGCCGCTAATGTTTCCTTTACACGCAGTGTCCCAGGGCTATGCACAAGGATTTCTCCTCTCTGGGGAAGGCTGTTCTTTCTCCTGGCCTGGGGATGCTTTGCATCTGGTCAGTCAGGCTGAAAATAACATCACTTTTCCCTGGGGCCTTTTCTAGACCTAGTGGCTAAGCCAGGTGATTAGCAGGAAAGAGGAGCAGCTTGAAGCCCAGGGGTTCCTCTTTTGCGGGAACACAAAAACAGATGGAGAAGCTGGGGCAACAGGCCAACCCAGGATGTCCCCATGCAAAGAGCTGCAGAGGAGGCAGGTCCAGACTTCCACGGGCCTCCCAGAGGGAGACACATACACGATTCCCACGGTGAGTAAAGCTTACACGCAGGAGATGTCTGCAGAACCAAGCAGACAAGGTGCACTGAGAAATTGCTCTGACTTGATCACTTTCTAGTAACCAATGTAATTCTTTCAACAGACACATTTTAAAGATGTGTTCTCAGAGGGAAAAGTCTGAGAAGTTGAGTAATTTAACCCAAGGCACACAGTCAATCTGTGTCAGAGCGGGGATGCACATCCACTAAGTTTGGTTCCAGCATGAGGCCCACTCTTAGCCAAGTCACTGGATTGTCTTTCACCCTTATCAGCTGCGTACTCTCTGCCCTGCGGGAACTAAGTTAAAATATCCCTGCACATCCCCCTGACAGCATCAGGAAAACCAGAGGGAAAAAGACAGGAATTTGTTCAAAAATTTCAAATTTCTCAGCTTAATCAGCAAGGCAAAGGGCACTGCCTTGGCACTGGACACAAGTGTGACTACAGCAAAGCTCTGCCTTCAGGGGGTGTTATACTATAGTGGGAAAGCAGCCAGCAAATCCATGTATAGAGTAAGAGAATATCCAGGAGAACTTCTATGAAGAAAATTAACCTTGGTGAAGGGTTTGATGAGGAAATAGGGTGGAGGAAAAGCCTTTCTGAAAAGGGAACACCTGAGCAGAGATGTGCTGGAAATGAGCAAATAAGCTTCATTAATATCTGGAACAACATGGTGCCAGGTAGAGGAATCACATGCTAAAGCTGTGAAATGTATTTGAACTATTTAAGAAACAGCAGGGAGGCCAGGTAGGAGAAAGTGCACCAAGTATAGAATACTGGTAGTTGAGAGCCAACGGCTAAGGTTAGCAGTGATGGGGAATGAAAGGGAAAAATGCTTAGCACAGTGCCCAGCCCAGAGAAAGTGTTCAGTAAATGGTAGATAATGTAGTAATTTTATATTTATCATTATTATCCTAATGTGATACTATATGAAAACCTCAATGCATGGGGTCATCTTTCTGGTCATGTGAGTGATCTACCAGTAAAGACAGTTAATGGTATGCTGGAACTGGCTCATAGGGACTGACAAGAGTCTATTTTAGCCTCTTTGTTCAGTCACATCGTGTAGCCTGCAATCAGCCATGATGGAAATGTTTGCACTGTGGAAATCAATAAATGCTCCAAGTCAAAATTATTTTGTACACTACTAGTTATTAAACCATTATGAGTATTCAGGAGAAAGAATCTACACGTCCATTAATTAATGAATGGAGTAAAATGTGACATGTCTATATGGTGAAATATTATTCAGCCATAAAAGAAGAGAAATACTGATACTACAGCTTGGATACACCTTAAAAACATTATGCAAAGTAAAGGAAGCCACTCACAATGGACCACATTTTGTATTATGTCACTTATATAAAATGTTCAGAATAGGCAAGTTCGTGAGGCAGATGATTGGTTCCTTTCTGGATGAAATGGAAGCAGAATAGTAGGAGTCAGGATTTTGGGGTTTTGGTGGGGGGAGTAATGAAAATGTCCTAAAATTGGGATGGTGGTTGCAATGAGAAAATATGTTAAAGTTCATAGACATATACATTTTAAATGGGTACATGGAAGAGTGTGTAAATTATATCTCAATAAAGCTGTTGTGAAACAGCAACAAAAGCATTCAGCACATTAGTAAATGTACAGTGGCCTTGTTGTGCATGATGGCAAGAAAACACTAAATATCCTCAAGAAAGTGGACCAGCCCTTAGTTAATTGAGAAGAGAAAGCTTAAGAAAGGGACATTTCCATGTACTCATTATACAAGCAGTCACTTATTATTTGCAGTGTTCCAGGCTCTGAAGACAAAAGAAGACCCAGAGAACACCTCTGCTTTTGATGGAGGCCCTCAGTTGACAGCACCAAGAGAAATGGGAGTAGAAATGAATCCTGGAAAGGGTGGGGAAAGCAGTAAGAGAGATATGGGAGATGAATTTGGCATTGGTGAGTTGTTTCTAATGGGCTGTCAGCCACTTGGCACATGAAGTCATTAAGGGAATCAGTGGTTGAGAAAGAGTAAGAAAGTGACAGAAGATATTCCAGAATTTCCATTTCCTTTTCCTTTTCAATCTGTACAACGGTATGTGTCTTAGTCATGGTCTCAGCAGGAGACAGAACATGTTCGAATTAATTCCAAGGAATTAATTTACAAAGGGGTAATTAAATGGTATAGATAAACCACAGGGGTAGTGAAGGAGCCTGGAAATCTAAGCAGCAAAGTCACCACCGTTAGACCTGATGGGAGGAGAGAGAGAAAGGCTACCAGTACCCAGAAGGGGAGAGATTTCTGTAGTTCCAACTGCTTTGAGGGGAACATGATGACCTCTAGAGAGCATGGACAACTCAAGCAGACCTCAGAGAGGTCTATAAGGGACAAATACCTTGAATTCATTCTTCTCCGTCCTTCCTTTCACTGACCAGCGCTAACTGGAAGCTAGATGGTATTAAAACGTGCTGACAGAATCTCTATAGGTCAATCTCCCTGGGAAGAAAGGAGAGGAGACAAAGGATCTGTGTGAGATCTGGTGGTAAATGGAAAACACTTGTCCCAACATGGAATCCTGAAGAAGTTTCTTTAGAAATAAAATAAAAATATTTCCCTTTAGGATATATATCACCAAAGAATTTTCTGTGTAATTCTGCCCTCTTCTGCTCATCTGTTAATTCCATCAAAACCGTTACAGTAGTCTCCAACAACATTTGAAAGCTATAGAACCCCTTCATCAGCACAAACTAGCACGTATAAAGAAAGCATGATACATGAAAATAGATGCAAGCCACAGAATCCCTTACGGCACTATCATACCCTAAAAGGTATAGTATTGTGAAGGAAAATCACTCAGCTCCAACAAATGTTCTGCAGACTCCTCCCTGTCCTCCAACCTCTAAATATTGTCCAAGTATCATCTCATTCAAGAAGATAAAAGGATCGTCCTATATGACTTCTAAAGAAGGCCAATTACATTTATTACTGGATAGAACCTTAGTGAGCACCCATACTGCACTCTCCACAAATGTGAAAGGTGAGACCTAAAGCACATACATAATTCTCTGTAACTGGTGCCACCTTTTCAGCATTGCACAGCTAGGTACTAATCTCTTAAAACCCAATAAAAGTCTGCCTCCCTAGCTTTCTGTGATCATTTCATCTCCAAAAACAGACATCACGATTTGCTGTGTGCCCACAGGTTATGATTTGGTGTGTAAGAGATGCTGATGCAAATTGAACCACCTCAAATTTAATAGCTTGAATCACTGATTTTTGTTGAATCACTCCCCACAATTTTGTTGGTTAACCAGTGGTCCTTCCATTGTACTTGGTATTAGCTGGAATCATTCATGTAGCTGCATTCAGAGGAATGCTAGGCTGAAGGGCCCAGGAAGGTCACTTGAACATATCTAGGGTTTCAGTGTTTACTGCACTGAGTGACTTAGTTCTCCTCCAGGAGGAGGTGATTATCCCATCCTCCAGTCCTTCTTTACATGGTTTCTCCCTCCAGCAAAATGGCCTGTCCTTCCTTTCGAAATGGTAGTTGGGTTCCAAGAGGGAA